TCCTATTTTGTATATCCACGCAAATTTCTAATTTAAAAAAAAATTTGGGAGTCGCTACCAGGATTTGAAAAAATTTAACCTTTTTTAAATCGCAATAATTTTACAAAATTTATACTTTCACGAGCTTTAGCTCAGCAATTTTATGAATTTATATAAATAAGTTTCACTAATAGATATGTCAAATTTAACAAATTTCAAGTGAGCGCTTTTCAAGTTTTTCTAACCCTTTTTTAATTTTCGTACCGGCCTATATTTTGTACGTAGAGCAAAATGAAGGGGTGTCATATAGAAAATTTTGCTTTCGATATTTGTAAGGACCACCCTAATTTTCACACTTAGTAAAAACTTCTATACACAAATGCCGCTACTGCATAGAATGTTAATATGTAGTAAAATAGCCACTGGTACATAGAATTGATTCAAGGAAGCAGCCGCATTTGCAGTTGCATTCACTAAGTATTATGTACGGCAATTGTTGCATCAACAGCTGAAGTTGGAAGTCAATGTGTGGCAGACGAGTTGTCGTCGGGGACAGCACTGCTCTTAAATGATAAACTAGTATTTCCAGTCTGAATGCTTTTCATTTTCAATGCTTAATAACATGTACTATCTACATATGTATATACATTAGGGGGGGTCCAAAATTCCTGTGGAAAAAGTGTAGAAGGAATTTTAATGCCAACGCCCCGCCCCCTAGGATTGCTCTATACCGATTAATAATTTACCTATATTTTCTACTTTGAAATCAAACAAGTAAAAAAGTATAAGTTCGGGCGAAACCGAACTTTAAATACCCGGCGCAGGTATCAAATATCGTCGTTTCAATTTTCTCTGAACTACATCTGCATGATAACTATGGGTGTTTACCCGATTTCAAACGTTTTCGATAATATGCAGAGTTAGACCTAATCAAATAATTGAACCTAGTTAGGTACAATAGATTAAGTGGTTACCGAGGTATACCTTTGTAGTTATAAAGTGGGCGGTATAACGCCCAATTCCTAAAAACCTATAGCAGTCTTATTTATTGTTAGGAGATTGTTGTGACTGTTAACTTGGAGTAAATAAGCGTACTCAGTTATTGAAATATCGAAGTTTTCGTATTTCTGAAATTTACCGTTATATGGGAAGCGGGTGTAATTTTAGTCCGATTTGAATAATTTTCAACAAATTGTTTCTCCGTACCAAGGTTGTTAAGTGCACCGAGTATGGTAGAAATTGATAGATCGGTTACCGAGATACACATTTGTGGTCATAAGTGGGGGGCACCACGCCCAATGTCCAAAAATATATAATAATCTAATTTTCTTCTCAGTGGTCATTGCAATAATCGATTGTGAGTCAACATGCTTCAGTAGTTACTGATTTATCGCAGCTTTCGTGTTTCTGTAAATTACCGTTATATGGGAGGTGGGTGTGGCAGTTGCCCGATTTCAAAGATTTTCAACAGGTTTCTTAGCTGGATCATAAGCAAGGCGCGTGCCGAGCTTGGTAAGTATTGGTGAAGCGGCTACTAAGATACAGTATTTCATCATAAGTGGGCGGGTCCCTTTTTCAAAAATTTCATAATAATATTATTTTGTACTAAAATTCTACTCCACGTACTAATTCTCAACAATTTGGATCCAATATTTACTGAAATATCATAGTTTCTGCATTTTTCGAAAACGCCGATATATGAGGAGGGGGAGTGGTTACTGGCCAATTTCGCCCATTTTCAATAGGAACCTACCTTGGATAAAGGGCAATCTATGTACCAAATGTCGTTGAGATATATCATTTATGTATACATTTTTCTATATCTGCATATATCTATCTCGATTCGTTTTGGCTGTTACAAACAACCGTTATGCGAACAAAGTTATAATAAGTACCCTGTGTTCAAGTGCGCGCGGGTATAAAAATAGGGGCATATTTTTTCGGTATAGAGCAATCCCAGGGGTGACTTTACTTTATTTTGGACAAACCTAATGTATATACATACATACATACAAACATGCATACACGTATGTATGTATGTATATATGCCTGCTCCCCTCTCAATGTTCTTTAAACAAAAACAAAAATATATGCGGGCAGACACTCAATTGAAGCAAGCAGGCAAATGGGTGGTTGAGAGGAGGGTGTATTTACATACTTAAATGCATAAAAAGGCAGGCATTTGTATGTACATAAACATATACAAGCAAAGATTTTTATTTACGTACCAACTTGTACTGATCACAGAATATTTACTGAAAAAGATGCTGAGAAACTATCTCGGACTTGCTGAAAGATATAAAGCTTTTGATATTTGTTAATTTTAATGAAAATGTATGGAGTGGAAGTTACAGTGGGTTGATCCAATGATTTGAAATATGTACACAACCGGTAAAAACCGGTTTTCGTATGGGACAGCTTTGCAAACCGTGCAATCCGTGCACCGTGCAAGGGCTTTGCAAGACTCAGAGAATACCCCTATTATCTATGTATGTATGTAGGTATGTATGTACTAGCTTTTGCTCCCAGGTCCGCCTGAATGAAGTTCGGTTTAACGTTATGATTTCAAATGTAACAAAAAGGAAAATAAATTATATCACCGAAAATAATAAATTTTATTTAAAAAAAAAGTTGCTTAAAGCCTCGAGGTTTCAGAACATGGTCAATGTGTCGAGTTTCAACTAAATAGACCATTTCAGTATAAAAAAAATTACATTTCTTAGCCAGTATTTACACTTCATATTAGAAATGGTTTTTATATGTAGGTCGTAATTCTTTTAAAAAATGTGTCTATATAAAATCATATCGCTACCTAAAGGTGAAAGGGTGCCAAGTCCACTTTTTTCGAAAGATTAGTTTTTGATGTAGAATGACAGACAATGCGAAACGATATCGATTTTTCGTCACTCCGGAGCAATTTCAAAAAATGGACTTGGACAGCAAGAGCTACGCAAGAGGTAAATTGTGTTCTCAGGACAAAGGGCGTGTAAAAGCTTAAACAGACGGCAGCGTTGCTCCGGACTAACTCGGACTTAATCCGGATCAACTGCAGTTAATTACCGAGTTGATCCGGATCAACGCTGCCGTCGGTTTATGCTTTAACAAATACATTAAAAGCATTATTTATATTAGTGCTGAGCCGGCTCCTAAGTGCAAAAAAAGGCTCCTGGAAGCCACTTTGTCCATCTCTGTCCTAGAGGACTTCGAATAACACTATGGCACAAAAATGAACTTTGAAAACTCGTCCGTTTTTGGTCTATATTTAAGTACTGTATGTGTTATTTTCAACTAATATAGGCCAAGAAAAAAACGTTAAATTTTCAAAGCTTGGAGAAGAAATAATAATTTGGCAGTACTGCGGCAGTACTGGATCGTGAAATTTTTTTCTCGAGAACACGATTTGAGAGTAGGTAAATTTGTACTATACTTGGACATTGACATCTCTGCCCCGATAGTTTCCAGCGCACTCTACACGACACCTACTTTTTTACACCTTTATGTGGCCTTAAGTAAAGTTTAAAAAAAATTTAGAACATTTTGGGTCTACCTACTCCCAAATATTATGTTTTTAGTACTAAAAAAAAACAGAAAACGGCAGCACTGGTCCCCAATAAGTTTCAATTCTACAGCGAGCATTTCCACAATCAGTGGTACCTATACATGTACATATGTACTTATGCGCACTTGTGTACAACCACTTGTATTCGATAAATGTGTATATATTTACATACATATATGTATGTACATATGTAATGTAGTACATATTCACAATTCGTCGCCTGGGTAAAAGATTGTCGTAAGCGCCATTTTGACGGTTTTTAGTTCTAGATGCATTTATATATTTTGAAACAAGGTCTTTCGATTGGTGTTATCAGTTTTTAGATTACTCCTTTAGTATCCGAGATATTGACTAAAATTTTTTCGACAATTTAGTAAAAATTTAGTTGGTGATGCAGTCATATTAAACTAATTAATATCTTAAAAATGGCGTTCTCCATTTTTTGACATCTCTTTTAGTTTCCGAGATATTGAGTAAAAAGTGTCGTTAATTTGGTAGAAATTTTGATAACTTTTTGTCGTATTTCATACAAAGTGGCTGCCAATTTGTGGACAAATGACGCTTACAACAAAATTTGACTAAAGAAAATCCTTCATAAACACAAAACTAATTAACAATAAACATTAAAAATTAAATAATTTAAGAATTTTGTGAACTAGTAACATTTTCAGAGGCTTTAGAGAAAATATGTATATCTTCGCGTTTTTGAGAAATTGCATTCCAAACTTCAATCGCGATTTCCCACAACCTGTCGAAATTAACATACCTACGACAATCTTTTACCCAGGCGACGAAATGTAAATATGACCAGCCTTAAGGATTAATTATCAAGAAACAAAGAATTTCTTTGCTCAAAAAAATCAAATCAAAATAAAAAATAATAAGAAATATGGAGAAACACATATGTACATACATATGTATATATCGACGGTACTTTGGCAAAAGCTCGCATCTCAGAAATCACTACTTCGTATCTTGTAAAATTAATTCAAAATAGGCCTTAAAATACTAGGATTGATTATATGTATATTATTTTTAATTAACTAAACAGTACTCAATCTTTAATATTCAGCAAAAAAAGTTATTAAAAATGATTTTCTGCTATTAATAGTGTTTTGAGATACGATATTTTGCCAAAGTACCGTCGATATATAACTTGGCTGAGGAATGGTAAAAATAGAATTGTTAAAGCGATTTGTTTAATTGACGGCGACAAAGATGTGTTAGTTGAAGTTTCACAAAATATTACCCATCTCCAAAGAAAAAAAAGAACAAACAATTTCATTGTTAAAATTGTAGTAGTAAACTAAAGGCAGGTAAGCAACCACAAAGCAGCAAATTTGGTGTTTGCGAATATAGTAAACCGCAAAACCACAAAACTTTCTCATGTATTATTTGGTTCAAGCTTTCTCAGTGGTATATTTCTTTGCAAAAAAAAAAACTTATTTACATATGTACTTACCAAAGCGAAATGTATGTAGATATGTAATTTTAATCCATGCAAATTGCGATGCCAGCACTTCTAAAATGAGTAGCTGGTTTTTGCAGCACACCGATTTGGTTTTGCAACAAAATTTTTTCTTTTAATTCTGCTTTACCTTGTGTGCATGTATGTATACATGTATTTATTTATCCACTTTTCACTCTTTTACACTTGGCAATTCGTATAATTTTAACATATTACAGCATCAGCTTTCTTTTCATCGATAAAGAAAAACACAAAAATCTATTCACTGCATCACACAGCACGGAACCGGTTTCATTTCTTTCATTTTAATTGTACTAAAATTCCAACCAGAAAATAAAAGAAAACACTGCAATACATTTGTATTTTGTTCACTCCAGCAATTCAAAGCGTTCAATATTTTCGCCACAAATACATATATTAAAACGATAATTACATTAATTATGTATGGCCACGCACTACGCAATTAAACACAATTGCGACCTTATCTAATTATTTGATATTTAAACGAGTATATTTATATTTTACCCAACTTTTGCACACATTCGTGATATTGTTGCTTAGGCTGACGCAGCCAAAATTTAAAATAAATTAAACAAAATGTTTTTGTAGCAAACCCGTGCGAAAAACCAAAAACAACAATCGCCCACTCGACCAAAGAACAAACTGACAAGAGTGAAATTGCGTATTTGACAGCGCAAAGATGAGAACAAAAAGAAATGTCATCGGCTTGGCTACCGGAAGTACAGGGTGATAACACGGGTCATACTGAATTGACAATCATACTTTCTTCAACAACCTGCCTTTATACCATGTTCTGACCGACATCGAAAACATGTTTTCGTTGCTAAAACTGGTTTTCGACTTAAAACTTGTGTTTTCGTCCATGTAAAATCTGTCAAACGAAAACCAGTTTTCGCTGAAAACTACTTGAAAACTTACGTTCCACTGTTGTTGTTGTTGTTGTTGTTCTAGCAGCACGTAGTCCCCGAATTGGTTGGTTGTTTATTCATCTTCCCCATCTGACTCCTCCAACCTTAGGCCCAGGAAGCGAGCAGTCTCGATAGGTTGAGTCCACAACGCTTCGGGTGTCAGATGGGTGGGATATGTAGGGCATGCGAACAAGTGTGTGGGGTTGTGTGGACCAGTTCCGCATGCTGGGCAGGTGTCAGCGATCTCTGGGTCTAATCTGGTTCTGTATGAATTTAAGCGGCTGCACCAGCCAGATCTGAGTTGAGCTAGCGTGGTTCTGGTTTCGCGCGGGAGTTGGAGTTCGCNCGTTGAGGTTATGTGATTGCATTTGCGTTGCTGAGTAATGTTGCGTTTGGTGTGATAAGTTGAGGTTATGTGTGTTTTGTTGCCGGGGTGCATGTTGCTGTCGGGTGTTGTTTGGTCCGCCTGGCTGCTGGTTGTGCGTTGCGGTGGTTACAGGCTGGCAACAGGCTGCGATGTAGTTTGCTTGCCATTCTCTGTGGCTGTTGAGGCCTGATCACTGTCTGAGATGGCACCATCGATTGCAATTTGTGCAGCGCACCGATATAGAGCGGTGGTGAATTCTGAGTTCGCAGACACTGCACGTGTAAGGTCCAGGGTTTTTTTCGATTCCGGCGCGGGCGAGGAGAATACGGAGCAGAGTTGCCGGAAGGTCCTGCTCCGATGATGAAAAATTGTGAATTCGGGGATGTATGCTGAAGTGATGGTCCTTGGCCGGAGTGACCGGGTCGATCTGGTGAACGTAGAACCGACCATCGTGAGATCGCTTACGTTCCACTCGTTCCAATCGGTGTCTTTACTAGTTTTTTGGATTATTTATCGAAGTGGAAGTCATACTTTATGATCTTTAATACGCCATTTCGGATTTATTGTTATAATTGGCTGGCAAAAGTAAAATAAGAATGGAAGTAAGAGGTTGCTAATGAAAAGAAAATGAGGGAAAATGAAAAGAAAATGAGGGAAAAGCATTTTGGTTTTGGTTTTTGTGTAGCAAAACTGTAATCAGAGGATGTAAGAAATGTCAACGAAAACACTAACAGCCGGTGTTAACAGCCTTCAGCCCACAATCCCAAAACACGTTTTCAAAGTTTTTTCGTTGTCGGTCAGAACATGGTATACCAGCCGGTGTAAACAGCCTTCAGCCCACAATCCCAAAACACGTTTTCAAAGTGTTTTTGTTGTCGGTCAGAACATGGTATTACTTTTTTAATCGGTTATGTAGTTCAAAAGATATTAATATTTAAAAAAAATCCAAAAAATTACTTTCAACAATAAATATCTTAAAACCTGAATGTGCGTATGTTTGAAAAGCGGATGAGTCCAATTTCCAAGTTTGTTTTAGTAAAAAAATGTTGCCCCCGTTTATCGTAATCCCCCCAAAGTTTTAATTACTTAACTGAGCTAATTATGTTTCTGACGGAAATTTTTAGAGCCATTTCAATTTTTTGGTCTATTGAAATTTTTTGCGCAATTGAAAAACCAAGTTGGCGGTTCAATTTACTAGAGATCACTTCTCAAAAAGCATAGATGAATCGATACATCGACTATTTATACATCGAGTGGAAAATTTTCGTTGCATCAAAGAAAACATCGACATTTTCGATGTTTTTCGAACATTCCTATTTCATTGTAGTTTACATACAACTAAATACATCACATAGTGAGTTCGTTACCAATTTAATGAATTTTTAAACACTTTAATAATGCTTAATCCATCTGAAGATAACATAAGGAAAAACCTTAAAGTCATATCTTTAGTAAAAAGCAATCCGTTGTTATTTCAAAGCTCGTCCGTGGAGCGAGCAGTAATGTGGAGGAAAATTGACGAAGTTTGTGGATTCGATGATTGTAAGGCACAAATGCAAATGATTATACAGAGTTTAATATTGAAAAGTATGTATATTTCCACTTCAGATGGAGCCAAAAGTCGGTGGTCATTTCTGTACGAAAATTTTTGCAAACACGTAATAAAGGTGGCATTTAGAAATGCACATTCATTTCACAGGACAGATATCACATATGTGCAGTTCAATGAATGGCCTTATTTTGAAGACATGAAGTTTATGCTGCCTCATGCAATAAGCTCCATGGGCGAACACGATATGAAGGCGATAAGAACAGAGATCATGAAAAGCCAAGTTCCTGGCGTGGAGGATGTTGAAGATCAAGATTCTGGTTCGTTACTAGATGTGAAAGAGAGTACGGTTAATTTTGAGTCATATAAAGATATTAATAAAGAGATTCCTTTAACATCGTCTACGACTATAAAGGATAACCATTCCACTGTTACCTTAAACGCAAATCTCCAAGACAGTGCAGATAAGGTTCCTGCTGAACAAAAGGTTGGAGACAAAGTTTCTCAAGTTAAAACGAGTATTTTGCAATGGTTAGGAAGACACAAGGATGATTTTACTGCAAAAAAGAGAAAACTTGAACACACTCAAATTTCCCCAACAAGCACACCTGCTAAAGCAACAAAGGAAAATAAACCCGACAAGAATAAATCGTCTTCTCACGAAGATTTATCATCGGAAGAAATTAATAATGAGAAACCTTCAACATCATCCAACCACTTTTCTTCGTCAAATGGTACTAATATAAAGGTTAACCATACCACTGGTACCTCGAACACAAATCTCAACAGTAATACCGATAAAGTTTTTGCTGAAGTAAAGGTTGGTGACAAAGTTTACAAAGTCGAAGTGAATATTCCTGAAGGGTACAAAAATGATTTTACCACAAAAGAAAGAAAAATTGAATGTACTAAAACATCCTCAACGAGCACGTCTACTAAATCAGCAAAGGGAACTTTGCCCAACAAACCTAAATCGACTGCCAATGAGAAAGTATCACCAGGGGAAATAAATAATAAGAAGCCTCCAACATCATCTACTGCTACTAAAGGAACAAAGGAAACTATGACCGACAAACCCAAATCGACTTCCTATCAGGAGTTATCACCAGAGGATCAAAGTTTAAAAGCATTTTTTAACTCTATGCTGCGGACGACGCAGAGCTTGCCGAAGTGCTGTCAAAGTAATATCAAAACTAGCTTGGTGCTAGCTTTGCGAAATCAATCCATGGACATGGAGGACCACACATTATCCGGTAAATATATTTCAGAATAGTCAATTGTACTTCAGCAGTGGTAAAATGTATTTTAAATGACGAAAATTACTATAGGTACACTTTAAACATTTAGGTAGTATTTATAGTAATAATTTGAAATATAATCGACCTTATCCTGGGTTTCGCCTGAATAAAAAATTCAACCTAAGATTTGTCATCCGCCCATAGTAAAACCATGGAAACTAAATGCGAAAAGTGAACCGGTTCGTGGAAAATGAAACTCATGATAAGGCTGATTTACTTGCGTAATACATTTTCCATATTTCAAGTACCTAATTAAAATATTTGGCCCGCCCGTAGCTGGTAGTAGATACTGGATCTGCTCTACATCCAGGGGGGGGGGGCCTATTTCATAAAGTGACAATGATAATCTTGTAACGCCAGGCATTTTTCGTATTGTCAGTGACAATTCGACAGATTGGTGGTTGTTTTGTTCCATTCCATTGAAAAAGTGACAAATATGCATTGTCGGGTTTTAAAATTGTCGTTGAAAAAATTTCCGAGTCAAGAAATTTTTATGTAATAATTGCATCTGCATTATTCTCTTGTGAAAACATTCCGACGGAGTTATTTAGTTTTGTCGCTATTGTCGTGACAATTTTGTCAGAGTGACAATTGTTAGCACCATTGTCGACAATAGTCCACCCAAACAGAAAACTGCTTGCAGAAGAACAGTCGCCCAGGCGCGTCAGGACGCATCTCTACGAATTGACGGACGAAGTCTAGAGGTTCATCAAACAACCTCTGGACCCGACAGCTTATCGACAGGCCATGAACGCCATTCACAGAGAGGCCGTCTCGAGTTATGTAGACTTTCGACCTGTGAATGACGCTCTGGGCATACAACCACCAGACGTGGACGAAGATGTTCTAAACGAATGCCCGGCAGAGAAGCTCAACAAACCATATGAATTGATTTCGTTTTGTTGATGCGCAAAAATAACTTATCAAAATAATTTCGTTTCCTTTCAGTGCTGAATTAACGAAACAAAACTCAATCGTTAACGTTGAAACGAAAGAAATCATTAATCGTTAACATCGAAACAAAATAAATCAACGAAAAGTTTTTGTTGTATGCCATTGCCAGCTCACTATTAACACCTAGCACCTAAATGCATGCTACAGCTTCAGCATTAACGATTGAATTTCGTTTCGTTAAACACCACAATAGAATTATTTTGATAATTAACTAAACGATAAAAAACTTAATCGTTTCTTAATCGACAGGCGCCCCATGACTCAAAGCATCTCTTCGCATGCCCACTGAACCCCACCCTACTGACGCCCCGCAACAACAATATTCCAGTATTGTCACTGTCGCTTTCTAAAAATAATTCACAGTTACCAACAAGCGTATATCACTATGAGCGTATATGAAACAGAAAAAATGTCGCCCAACAATTCTGGCTCTGAAATTTTATAGAAAAATCGACAATTGTCGCACCTGTCACGTTTATGAAATATGCCCAGAGCGAACGCGATCCGTTTTACGACTGCATAACAAATTTAAATTTGCTTCGTTGATATATATCACTGCCTGTATA